AATCTTGTGCCTTGTGTAAAAAGGCTGTTTGATCCTGTCTTCTCTGATCCGCCCCTTCTTTTGTTGTCCCTAATCCATCTGCCATAGTTCGAGCAACAGTGACAAGTCTGCACATGCTCTGTTTGGAGTGTATTGCTAGTTTTTTTTTAGGGGGGGTTTCTTTTGGGGGGGAGGGGGATGTGAGGTGCATGTGATCGGCACTGGGCCAATCAGCGCTGTCCAGACAGAGGGTCAGGGGTTATTTAGCCTCATAGGACAGTCGGGACGGTAAGAGCTTTTTCTTGGAGCTATAATGAAGGGGGGAAAAAGCTGGTAATTGCATTTTCATTCTTCCTGCCACAGAAGGAAATAGAGGGATGGGGTCACCCAGTGACATTACCCAGTGACCCCGCCTCTTAGTTTCCTTTAGTGGCGGGGGAGAATGACAACTCCTTCTTGGAGCTATAGTGCAGGGGAAAAAAAGATGGTAATTACATTTAAAAACCATCAGTGACATATAGGGGCAGCCAGTGAGGGAGCCTGAGTGTATACACTTCTCCCTCACTATAAACACTGCTCCTCTCCTGCCCCCCTCCTTGCACACACTAACCCACCTCGTATAAAGTGGACCTGTCACTCATATGCTATTACATAGGGGACTATTGGTCCCCTATGCGACAGCAATAAAATCATAAGTTAATAAAATAAATAAAAAATACAGATTAAAGTAAAAAACAAATTTGAGCCTCTCCACCCCCACATACGCAGACATTTCAGTTTTGGTTTTTGGCCACGTGCATTCTGAATTTTTGGTATCGGTTTCAGCACCAGAATTTTCAATTCAGTGCATCACTAGTATTTAGCAATTTATATTTAGTAAAATAATTGGCTTTTCACGTTCTGTGTACTTTGGAAGATTGGATATAGTGAATGCAGGGTCATTGATTTAGTAACACTTTAACTGTATCTGAGCTCCAAAAACTGTAAACACTATTTAGTTAATTTGTAATTTTCAAATCACACTCACCCATCCATGTCTCCATGCTTTATTTTGTTGAGAGATCACTTTGAAAAGCATTTTTTGCATCTCTAGCCATGGCCGTCTTGAGGAAGGGCAGATAATTCATGTAGCATTTACTTCATGAAATCCATTTGCCCTTAGCTCAGGCAGGCAGGAAGGTGTGCTTAGCTGAGAAAGCCCCTCCTCTAGATGAAAGAAAACAAAATGGCCCTGAAGATTCCTGGAATGTATGAAATCATTTTGGCCTTGGCCAGGAACCAAGAAACAACTGAAGAAATACAAAACAAATATGTTTAAAACAAGTAATAAACCTTTCTGTCAGTTTACTAATGTTAGCAGCATAAGGATTAAAAATGGCTAATGTTGATTGAGAGGGTTTACTTCTGTTTTAAGTGATCCTATAAGCAAAGGGAAAGGTACAAGTGTGTTTAAAGCAGAGTTCCACCCAAAAATGGAAGCTCTGCTTTTCTGCCTTCTCCCCCCCTTCGCTGCCACATTTGGCACCTTTTGGAGGGGAGGGGGAGCAAGTACCTGGTTTTGACAGGTTCGGCACCCCGTGCAGCCGTCTGGGACACTTCTGAGGTCCCAGGGGACTGTGGCCCATTTACAAAGCACAGCACACTTTGCACATGCACAGTATGAAATCAGTGGTGAAGCCTCAAGGCTTCAATGCCGGTTTCCCTTAGTCAAGAAGGTGGCACCAGCACCTGCCAGCTGATTGAAGAATCTGCTATGGGTGAGGACACCGCTGGATGCATGGACAGGTAAGTGCTCCACTATTAAATGTCTGCAGATTCAGAAGAGCTGATTCTTCAGTCGGCAGAATCAAGGGAAGAATCTGAGTGGTTGTTGGAAACCATGAATGTGTCAAGTGTGTTAAGGGGCATTGCTATCCCAATGAATGGGGTGCCTTAACACACAATAATGCATGGGTTAGCACACGTGTTAAACACAATTTAAAGTCTGAATGGACCTTTAGAGGAAAAGTTAAGATCTCCAAAAAATTAATCTGCCTCGACCTCTGGAGCGACAATGAACACTATAAAAAAAAGGAAGAGTATTAATGTCCCAAGTGGGGTCACAGACAGCAATAAAAACCTGCAAGATGTTCAAATGGTTGTCTGTTCAAACAAAAGAACCCAAAGTAACATTTGCTTCAGGTTTATGAGGAATTTGTTTGGGCTCACTACAAAGCCTACTTACTGAATGGCATTTATAAAGCCTACACTCTGGCGGATATCTGTCATTTTGCTGATAAAAAAATCATTACATTGTCTAGATATGTAATGGTGAAATTCTGATGAGGCCTAAGTGCATCATCTATCATTCTTTTAAGAGTAGTCAAAGACTCCTAAAAAGACAACCCCTAAGGGGTAAAAATGACTTTAACTACTTGCCGCCCGGCTTATAGTAATATGACGGCCGGGCAAACCTCTCGTCCCTCCGGTAGGGCGTCATATGACGTCCTTCCTGGATCGCGGTTTGCTTGTGCCCGCAGGGCCGTGCTGTGGCGAGATCTGTCACTGGCTGTGTACCTCGGACACGGCCGATGACAGATCTGTGTACCGGCCCCGTTGCCAGTACCATGTGACCTGCTGTGACCAATCACAACAGGTCACAGGACAGTTGTATACAATGGATGGCTTCCTTTCATGTTATCCATTGTATACAAGTGTGTCTAGCTGTAAATGAATACAGTGATCACATGCACAGGCTGGGCCAGTCACAGTCCATCTGTGTTGTGCTTATCTGTGGCTAATCACAACAAAAAAACCTGAATTAACTGATTTCATTCAGTTAAATGCTTATAGCAAAGACATTTTTTGCTATAAGCAATCAAATTGTGTAAAAAAAAAAAAAAAAATACTAATCACTTTCCCAAAGTAGTACAATGTTACTATGGTAACATTATACTGCTTTAGTCATTGTGTAATATGAAAAAAAATAATCTTAAAGAGAAAAAAATTTAATCAATTTTTTTTTTTTTTTTTTTTCGTACGGTCACCAGTCATTGTCCTTGATCACCACCACACCAGTTATATGCTGACACTGTACTGCACTGGTGACAGTATGTAAAAAACAAATTATGAAATTTTTTTTTATTTCATCATTTTCTAAAAAATTATGACTTCAAAAAACTCGCCATGCCTCTTATGAAATACGTCGGACTGTCTACTTTGCAAAAAGGGGTCATTTGGGGGATATCTGTACTGTTCTGGCATTTTTGGGCCTCAAGAAATTAGATTAGCTGTCAGTACTTTAGGATTGATTCATTTTCAGATATTTCCCATAGTTTGTGAACTCTATATCTTTCCTACAGACTAAATAATAAACACTGATTTGGGTTATTTACACAAAAGAAATGTAGTAGAATACATCTTGGCCTAAATTTATGAAGAACAATTTATTTGTAAACTTATAACAGAAACAAAGAAACGTGTGTTTTTTTCAAAATGTTCACTCTTGTTGTGTTAATTTAGCAAAAAATAAAAAAACCCCAGTGGTGATTAAATACCGCCGAAAGAAAGTTTTGTGACTAAAATGATAAAATTTTAGTTTGGGTACAGTGTTGCATGACTGCGCAATTGTCATTCAAAGTGTGAGAGCGCTGAAACCTGAAAATTGGCCTGGGCAGGAAGGGGGTAAAAGTGCCCGGTATTGAAGTGCCTAAAGTGTCAAAGTTCCAACAGCTCATGATGACATCATGGGTGGTTATTTTTTTCAGATAGTAGTCTCTCAATTCATCCACACTTTAGCCCTGGTTCACATATATGCGGCCGTGCGGGACGCGTTTTGCGCGGACACAAGAGCCCATTCATTTGAATGGATTCCCATGCCCCATGACACGCAGGGAAGAACTCCCTGCACTTCTCGGTTCCCAGTATGGCTGCGTTTTCAAGTGCGGGCAGCGTTCCATTATAACTAATGGCATCGGGGGGTCCGCATTGCTCTGTGCGAATGGTGGTGCGGCTGCATGGATTTTTGAGCGGATCCGCAGCGGCACCACCTGCACATATGTGAACCAAGCCTTAATGTGGGATAAATGCCAAACTTTGAAAGTTGTTACAGAATATTATTGAATGATCTGGCTTGGGAATCATTACTATGGGGCTACACTACTCACTTTCGGACCCCTCTATAATCCTAAGGTCTAGAATTCTTTTAACCTCCTCTTATGGTTACCCATCTATGGGCTTCAGGAAGGTGTACGCTTACTTTGGTATCTGTAACAATCTTATATTTAATTATATCAGTGCAGCCTGACAACTCTGAAAATGCACCTCACATTTGCCAAGAGTGCCCCTTTCAAGTATTAACTAAATTCATATAAAAATCTGCTCTAGCACCCGAGCTTTGTTTGTCAATGGAAATCCTGAGCTTTGTTTGTCAATGGAATGAAGATGCAAGAGGCTTGTGACGTGCAAGAACCTGTTTGATGCATGAGTCCTTTTTGAGCAGATCTCAGCTGGCCTACTAATAGTACAATTAGTGCTGTAGCTGAGAAAAAGATTTAAGGACCAATAAAATTACAATAAGAATTGGAACCCCTGTTAGGTTTTTATTGCAGTCATTATCTTTGCTAGGGGAAGTCACTCTGTCTTTGTCCTGGTGACCAATATCACTTGGACTGCAAGTGAGGGAAAATGTGGGGGCGTCTGTACCAGGGAGGACTGTCAGAAGCAGTTTACTTCGCTTTGGAGATGTGTGCTCTCATTCCCTGTTGTATCTACAGGACAGGGGGCAATGGGAACACTTTTGAACGGGTCACAGATAGCAAAAAAAAAAAAAAAAAGAAAACAGACTATTTTACTCATTCCCTTTTCTATCTAAAATGGGCAAAAATTAGGTTTTGTTTTTAGAGAAACAATGAGTGAAACCCTAAATAATTTACAATGGTAATGTTGACAAATTATGATGGATCATTTGCCGGAAAGGTATTTTATATAGTATATACACTGAAAAACATTGCTCACAGTATTAATGCATTCTTTCTTGCTTCACAGGTGCTCTCACGGTTGGCCTTGTCAGGCAATGTCAGACCATACATGGACGTGACAGGATCTGTATTCCTCCCCGGCTCCCACCGGAGTGGGTTACAACGCTGTTTTTCATCATAATGGGAATCATATCATTGACTGTTACTTGTGGTTTGCTAGTTGCATCCCATTGGAGGAGAGAAGCTACAAAATATGCCCGATGGATTGCGTTTACTGGCAGTAAGTGTCCCGTTAACGATTCCCGCTATATATACTGATGTCTTACCTAGAGTCGTTTTTCACATTAATTCTATTAGAGTTCACATTCTGGGGAAAAATTAAAGAGCAACTCCCAGTGTATTTCGACATTTGAGTGAAGCAGGACACAATTCCTGCCTGTTCTCCTTCCAGTCTAGCAAGTAGATCTTACTCCAGCGCAGCTGCTTTCAGGGGTGAAACTAATTTACTGTAAAAGCCAAGATGCTTGTTGTCACAGCTCATTAATATTCTATGTATATTTCTCCAGAGCATACTCCTAATTTAAAAAAAATTACTTTGAACTTAAAGAGTGTTACTGGTTTCCCTTTAATTCCCACCTACATGGGGGCTGTAGGAAACAAAGTAAATGGAAAATGTATCTGCTGGTGAGCTGTATCAGCTTTAGATGAAATTAAATCTGTTTCCAGGCTGTTTTTATTCTAGATGAGCAGTAAAAGCACTTGAAAATAAATCCTTGTTTACCTCTGTATCTAGTGGCTAAATTTATCTTCACATTTTGCATCTTGAGCACTAAAATTGTATCTCTTTTCCTATTATCCTGTATCTAAATTGTAATATGAAAGCCTGTGTGTCAGCCTTCTTATGTAATGAGGGGTGCAGGACTGCTCTATGCAGGTGTGCTCTCTTATTTGCATGTACAGTTAGGCCCATATATATTTGGACACAGACACAATTTTAGTTTTTTTCAGGTAGTTACCAAAACATATTCAAGCTATAGTTATATAATGGATATGGGCTGAAAGTGCACACTGTGAGTTTTAATATGAGGGTATGTACATCCAAATTGAAGGAAGGATTTAGGAATTACAGCTCTTAAGAGTAGCCACCCCCCCCTTTTTCAAGGGACCAAAAGTAATTGGACAATTGAATATAATCATAAATAAAATGTTCATTTTTAATATTTTGTTGAGAATCCTTTACTGGCAATGACTGCCTGAAGTCTGGAACCCATGGACATTACCGAAGACTGGGTTTTCTCCTTTCTGATGCTTTGCCAGGCTCTAACTGCAGCTGTCTTCAGTTGGTCTTTGTTTGTGGGTCTTTTTGCCTTTTGGTTTTGCCTTCAGCAAATTAAATGCATGCTCAATTGGGTTGAGATCAGGTGATTGACTCGTCCATTGCAGAATATTGCACTTCTTCTTTTCCTTCAAAAGCTCCTGGGTTGCTTTTGCAGTGTGTTTTGGATTATTGTCCATCTGTGCTGTGAAGCGCCGTGCAATCAACTTTGCTGCATTTGGCTGAATCTGGGATGACAGTATATCTCTAAACACTGCAGAATTCATCCGGCTGCTTCTGTCTTCTGTCACATCATCAATAAACACCAATGACCCAGCACCACTGGAAACCATGCATACCTATGTCATCACACTGCCTTCACCATGTTTTACAGATGATGATGTTGTTGTGTGCTTTGGATCATGAACTGTTCCAAGCCTTCTCCACACTTTTTTCTTCCCATCATTCCGGTACATATTAATCTTAGTTTCATACGTCCAAAGAATGCTTTTCCAGAACTGGTCTGGTTTTTTTTTTTTTAGATTTTTTTTTTTTAGTAAATTCTAATCTGGCTTTTCTTTTCCTCAGGCTTATGAATGGTTTGCACCTTGTGGTTAACCCTCTGTATTTGCTCTCGTGAAGTCTTCTCATGATTGTAGACTTTGACAATGATACGCCCACCTCCTGGAGAGTGTCTTTCACTTGTCTGGATGTTGTGAATAGGTTTTTTTTTACCACAGAGAGGATCCTGCAATCATCCACCACTGTTGTCTGCTTTAGACGTTTAGGCTTTTTATGTTGCTTAGCTCACCAGTGCGTTCTTCTTTCCTCAGAAAGTACTAAATTGATTTGGCCACTCCTAATGTTGCTGCTATCTCTCTGATGGATTTGTTTCATCTTTGAAGCCTTACAATGGCCTGTTTCACTTGCATGGACCGCTCCTTTGAATGCATGATGTAGGTTCACAGCAATAGATTCAAAATGCAAATTCCACACTTAGAATCAGCTCCAGACCTTTTACCTGCTTAATTGATGAAGAAATAATGGAGTAGCCCACACCTCACCATGAAACTGCTTTTGATTTATTTGTCCAATTATTTTTGGTCCCTTGAAAAAGGGGGAATGGCTGCTCTTAAGAGCTGTAATTCCTAAAACCTTCCTCCAATTTGGATGTACATACCCTCAAATTAAACCTGAGAGTGTGCACTTTCAGCCCATATCCATTATATAACTATAGCTTGAATATGTTTTGGTAAATACCTGAAAAAACTAAAATTGTGCCTGTCTCCAAATATACAGTTAGGTCCATATATGTTTGGACACAGGCACAATTATAGTTAATGCATGACCTCTCCCTGTCCTCTAAGAACTGACATTTCATGTGAAGAAACTACAACAGGGAATTTAACTACACTAAAAACTAATTAAAAGAACAAAAAACATTTAAAAGTGTTCAATGCCTTTAAGAAATGTAAACACTTTAATGTCCAGAGGCTGGCATAGGTGCATTTTAAATGACTTGTAAAAATGTAGGATGTTTTAGTACAGCTGAAATTTAAAACAATCGGTATATTTTTAACCAAAACAAATAAAATGGTGTTGCGCTAATATCAATAGTACTAAGGACACAATAATTTGATGAGTGGGGAGACAGAAAAAATAACCCCAAAACAGAGGTGATAAGTATAAACCTCTTTTTTTTTTTTTTTTTTGGTTATTTTTCCTGTCTCCTCACTCTTCAAATTATTGTATTGTATTGTAGTACTATTGATATTAGCGCAACACCATTTTATTTGTTTTGGTTAAAAAGATACCGATTGGTGGCTAGGTCTAGGTGTTTGCAGCTTTTTTCAATAGTCCTATGTATACCTATAGCAGCGCAGAAGGTTTTTTCTATTATCTTTTTAACCAATTCTTTTTCTTCCCTCCGCAGTGATCCTTTTCTGTATGGCAGCATTAATATTCCCCATAGGATTTTACATCAATGAAGTTGGTGGACAACCTTACAAACTTCCCAACAACACCGTAGTTGGGTCCTCTTATGTACTTTTTGTCTTATCCATTTTCTTTACTATAGTGGGACTATTATTTGCAGGCAAAGTATGTTTACCTGGCTGATGTACAGGGGGATCCACAAGACTTTTTATTGCAATGAACATTATATATTTGTTGGGAGGGGAGGTGGGGAAGGGGTTCTTTGAAACCTCCAAGGACATTGCCTTCTCAGGAGAACACCTGAAAAGGGACAAGAGAACTGAGAAGATGATAGACATTAACTTGTTCTCACTATGCACTTTGGATCAAATGGAGAGCCTTTCTTTCCACAACCAAATACAAATATCATAGACTGATCTCCTGAGCATATTTATGCCGCCAGGTCTGCACTGTGACGTGGACTCGTGAAGAACGCTTTACACTGACAAGCAAAACTGACCTTTATTACTGTACCCAACTCCTGTTTTCATCGTCTGCAAGAATAGGAAATGAAGAGTAAACCAAGAGTATTTATGAACTTTGTCTATGACCTAGAAGTATTTCAAAACCAAGTGGGGCTGGCCCCACTTGAGCGAGGATTCATTTGAGGATTAACAACACAGAGACTTGGTAGCCAGAGTCCCCAACGCTACGGAGCATACAGCTCAAAGTCTGTTCAACCCCTGAGACTTCCTATGGCTGAAAGCTTGGTTTTATAAAATGGCTTTGCTCTGGCAAGTTTCATGTGCTTTTGGGTTCAACTGTCCAGCTGTAGATGGATTTGCAGCACATCGGCCCTCATATTTCCTGGTACTAAAATAGGGGCGGGTATTATTTGAGAAAAATAGTTTGAACGGTGCTTTGAAAATACAAAAAGGGAATGTTGAATTCCTTTTAGAAGCACACAGGTACTGGAATACTGGAACTCTGTTGGGAATTAGAAGAAAACACTAATATTCTGGAAGGGGGGGAGGTGTGGTCTCTTCATTTATGTTTATATAAATATATATTTTTGCTGACGCAGTATACAGTGTAAATATAGGCAGTTCTGGGAAAAGAATGCTAAAAGCTTCGCTAGCAAAATCACTGTGGTGCGCCAACTGGAACTGTAGTTAACTAAAGCCATTTTCTTGAAGACTACATAGTGAAGAGTCTTCAGTTTACCTCATACTTCGTAGCAGCCCTCAGATTTTGTCTCTTTTTCTTTTCTTTCAAATATGTATAAAATCAGACATTTCTCATTTTACGTTTTTCAGTTAAACAAAGTTTTTTGCGTCATAACATATCATAAAAAGGAAAATGACAGCAATTTGTACTAGTCTGGATAGGCACCAGAGGTGGGTAACAAAGCACTGGAACTTCCTTGGCTTTCAAATGGATAATCATGATTTTAAGAAGTGGGAGTTTGTACACACTTATACTGCAGTGACCACACTATGCGCTAGCAATGGGTAAATCTCTGCGGTATTTTTTTGTTTTGTTCAGGTATTTGTTGACTCATGTGAACATGTGCATGCCTAATTTCTGAGTTTCTTGCATTCAGAATTTGTAAAGGGATTTTCTGATATAGTTTATGCTGGCCTGACATTGTGCACATTCACAAACAGTGCAACAAATTTGAGTACAGCATTTTGCTGGTGTGTGTGTGATTTGCTTCTTGTAGAACATGGGTTTTTCCCTCATGCTTGAAATGCCTGTTTGATCAGTTCAACAAAGTATGTCAGTAAAAGTGGTGATTTTAATCTTGAAAGTGCAAGTTCACCTTCAGCAAGATTTTCCAAAAATCACATATTCTCTGATTAGTACATACCAGCACTCCTTATTTAAATGGTGCAGGTCCTCCAAATACACATGCAGCTTTTGGGGGGGGCCTCCCCACAGCTCAGAGCTCAACTAGAGAAGGAGAGAAAGCGCGCTTCGCACATGTGCAGTTTGAGTGGCTCAGTGGGAACGGGGCAGTGCAGTGTGCATGTGCACAGTTTGAATGGCCCACAGTGGAATCTACTAAGCTCAGCTGGAGAAGGGGACAGTGCAGTGTGCATGTGCGCAGTTTGAATGGCCCAGAGCAGCCGCTAGGGAACGCACAATTGTAATACCCAGCCCATCTTTCAAATGGCAGGATGGAGTGGGATCAAGGGGCCCACTGGAATTTGTGGTGAGGCCACCGACAGCAGCATGTGTAATGGAAGGGATATGCACCATTTAAAACAGGAGGGAGAGCTGGTATTTACAATTCAGAAGATATGGAATTGCATTGGGGAAGTTTGGGAAAATCTTGCTGAAGATGAACATACACTTTAAAGGCAATATGTCATGGTTTAAATACAGAGACTGTTTCTAAGAAGCCTAACTACCTGGCTGTAATGCATTCTAAGTCACTTACCTGAAACTAGCATAGATTTGAGAAATTCTGGCTTTTTGTTTCAATTTGTTGCAGGCCAGACAGGCACTTTCAAGAGACCAGCAATGAAAGCCCCTTTGCACAGTTGAGTCCCTAGAACAAAGAAAAATTGCTCCAGCTATGTTCTCCCAACTGGAAGTGCTGATTTCCAGATCATTCTGGCTGGCAAAGCTCCAGCACTTCCTAATGCTAAAGCTTGGAAAGGAACACAAAGGCAGGGTGTTAGGGGGAATCAAAGCAACGACACTTTATTAAACACAGCACACTTTCAGTTTAAAAACTTGACATTCAGCATAGACGGCAACCAGGAAAGTACAACATGCCAGTATCCAGTGCAGGGCTGATCAAACAGCAGCATAAGCCAGCACCAGCTTGTCCTGCTGGAGTAAAGGGGTGTGCCCCTGAAATGTGTTGCGCCCCACCCATCTCTGATGTTCTTCCTGCCTGTCCGTGGCTTTTGTTTGTGACCATAGATGCTGCTGTCTTCCCTCCTTTGGAAGTCTCCTGGTGTTTGCTTACGCTGCAGTTTTGATCGACCCTGCTGTACTTTCCTGGTTGCCATCTATACTGTATTTCAGGTTTTCAAACTGAAAGTGAGCTGTGTTTATTAAAGTATTGTCACTTTGATCCTGCTAACCCCAGCGCCCTGCCTTTCGCCCCTTTCACACAGACATTCCGATCGGGTCCACCTGCCCGTTTTTCAGGCGGACCGATTGGAACCTCTATTCTCTATGGAGTGGCGGGTGTAAATGGATGTGTCCATTTACACCCGCCGACATTCAATCCGCCAAAAAGAGACAGATGGGGATTCATTCCCCTTCCATTGGTTGGATTTCATGGGATGGCAGTCTGATGGAAACGGACAGTCCGTTTCTATCTGACCACCCATAGAGGACAGCAGGCTATGTCTGTGTCTGCTCTGCAGCACCGGAGCGGACACAGACCTGTCATCTGATTGCTCAGCCGGGATCAGCGGACAGATTTCCCACTGAGCAAGTGAATCCACTGACGAGTCTGCCCCGTGTGAAAGGGACCTTGGTGTTCTTTTCAGGCATCCATGAGTAGACCCCTCCCAGGTCCCACCCAAGGAGCTGCAGGTGAGTTGTATTGGATTTGTACACCCACCACCACCCTCCTGGAAACCTATTTTCATTCAGACTGTGGACATTGGCTCACAGTTTTGGAGTGCTGAGTGCCTGCAGTATATACCTCCTTCATAATATGATGCCAAAGCTTGCCTGCCTCTTCCTGTCTGCTGAGCATTACAGTTGGCCAGTGAGGTAGCCCATTATAGTAATGGGCCAATAGAAACTTGAGGGGGCAAGACTTGACACCAAGCTCTACAGCGTTCATAAGAATGGCCTTGTATTCCTTTGTAAAGCTGCTACAGCTATGTGAAGGGCCTTCAAGGTGCCTACACTATAGAGCTACATCAATTTATGTGTTTTTGTTTGAGAGGAAAAAAAAGTACCTTTTTAAAGGTAGCAAGTTAGGGCAACAATATAAAATCTGACATTGCACACTTGTTTCTAAAGGTGCAGCCACCAGGAATATTATTCCAGCTTTGGCTTCACTAATAAGTGATTTGCTTTCCTAGAAAAAGCATGAAGCCAGTTTGGTCCTCATATGTTTTCCAGGTCAGGGATTTACGAAGTAGTGAAACCAGGATCAGGATGACACCTTTTTAAGTCCAACAGAAATTTGTGTTTAAATCGGCTAAACACATTCCAGGAATATTAAAATCAACATTCCTAGGGCCCATCTACATTTGCAGTGCATTAATGCACCTGCAATTAGGCAGCCCATTGAAATCAATGGACTGCCAACACACCAAATCATCCAAAAAATCAGATGTGCCACAATATTCAACGCAAAGCACTATGCACTGCAATGCATGTTTTTTTGCATGGCACATGTAACGTGCATGGCGGTAACACCCACATTCCCACAACACATAGATGTATTTGGGTTTTTACAGGTTTTTTTTTTCCTTTAGATAAAGAATCAAAAAGGCCATCCTCTGCCAACAGCCGCAGAAGGATCCTTGCTGTCTGTATGGAAGCAAGATCTCTCTGCAGAGGTCAAGAACGCCCCCTACTGAGTCAGACCTAGAGGTTTGCAATCGGCAGCTTTGCCCTTTTGTTGTTGTGCACCTGAAATATTCTTAGCTTATCTAAACTGTCATTACAGCCATGTCTGTAAAGCCAAACAAAACTTTCAAACCAGTGAAACCAGGACAAGGGGGTGAATGGATGGAACTTCCAAGTGGAGCACCAACCGCAATAACTTGGCAGAGGGTCTAACGCTTCCCCACTTTATTTAAAAAAAAAAAAAATTGCCTGTGCATACACTTTAATAAGAAAAAAAACTGGTAGGATGTTACTCTACGTCTGCCATACAAGTGTCCAGTGGGAAGCGCCAAAACTAGTATGCAGTTGCCAAAAAAGTACCTTGATTGCAGTTCACAATGTAGTCACTGTTGTGCAGCATACAAAGGGTTATGGTAGGTACCATATTTACATGTAAGTGTGTACAAATCCCACACATTTTTTTTTTATTGGTGTTTTTCCATCTTCTATTTACTGAGCTTATCTGCTACATATAGCTGCATTTTTACCAGCGATAACTCCAAGCACAGCTATAGACTGAAACAAAAGTATGCTACAGGAGATGTCATTACTAGGTCAAGATGATGTAAATACCTTTGTTCTGTAATGTGTGTTACTTGTTATGACTAATTTAT